TCTCTCCACCGCCGGGTGATTTAAGTTGAGAAGTGCTCAGCTGCCAGAGGTGAGAGGCGAAAGATAGCCAGGGGGGGGAACAAAAACTGAGATTTCTGCCGATGAGGCAGAGAGGGGCAGAGGAGCGAGGCAAAGTGCTGACCACAAGCTCTTTGCTCCCTCTTCCATCACCCATCAGTTTAAAAAAACTAAACTGAACCCAGACAAAGGCAGAAGCATCCCAGCTCCTCGCCACCCCGGGAAAATCGTCATCTCCAGCCCAGCGGCACGCTTCCCAGCTGCAGGGAGGGGGAATCGGGGCCAGGCGACCTTCCATGGTCTGCGACGACTCGGCCGGCCGTGGCACGCGTGCTCTCGCCCCACATCGATGCGGGTTTAAACAGTCAGTTCCAGACGGAGACGTCCCTCCTGTAACATACGGACGGGTTTTCCTTGAAGCCCCCCCGCCCCAAGCGCTGGCGTGGGAAAAGGAAAGCCGAAAGCCCGCCGCTGCCGGCGAAGGGAGCAGAAACGGAGCAGCGCTCCGTGCCTTCCACCTTCCCCGCTCTCTGGCGCGAGTGTTGCAAGAGCCAGCTGGAAAGCAGTGAGCATTTTTGGAAGTGGGGGTGATCACAGCTTTTCACAAATTCTCTTTATCATTAAAAAATTGGTCCCATCTCCTTTTCGTGGGGGCCGCTGCACTTGTAATCCATGGTGGCGGGGGGCCTGCAGCGCTTCTTCGCCAGGTGGTACCCCAGGGCCAGCAGGGCCAGGGCCGCGGAGAGGGCGCCCACGGCGATGCCCACCAGCACACCGGGGTGGAAGTGCTCCGCCTTCGGTGGGGTCCCGCTGGGGGAGGGCGGCGCTGGGGATGGGCGTCTGGGGTCCGGGCCCGAAATCCCCCGAGTACTCTCCCTCCCTGTCGCCCTCCGGGATTTTGACGCAGTGGTTCTGGTCGAGGAGCTGGTAGCCAGCGTGGCAGTGGCACTCGTAGCTGCCAGGGCGGTTGGTGCAGTTGTGTTGGCAGAAGTTCATGTCGCACTCGTCGATGTCCACGCAGACCCGCCCGCTGTCGGTATCGTCGTCCAGCAAGAAGCCCTCGGGGCACTCGCAGGACTGGCTCTGCGGGTCGCACTGGGCCGGGCACTGGCTGCGGTTGCAGTGCAGCAGGCAGCGGGTGGGCACCCGCGGGTCGACGGCGTAGCCGGGGAAGCAGCCGCAGTGGTACCCGCCGGGCACGTCCTCGCATCGCTGCTCGCAGGGCGCCTCGTAGCAGTGGGAGACGGGCCGGCAGCGCCCCTCCAGCATCTTGTAGCCGCGGTGGCAGCGGCACTCGAAGCCGCCCTCGGTGTTGACGCAGACCTGCTCGCACAGCTTCGGCAACACGGCGCAGTCGTCGTCGTCCTCGCAGCTGCGGTGGTGTCGGACGCAGTGATGCTGGCAGGGCAGGAGCCCGGCCGCCCTCCTCGCCGCTCGCCGC